CTGCCAGCCACCTTGCAGATGTCGTCACTCCACCTAGCTGGAGGGCGCCCTACACTGCGTTTGCCCAGACGCGGTCTCCACTCTAGAACACGTTTACCCCAACGGTTATCGGTTCTTCGACAAATGTGACCGGCCCACTGCCACTTCAGCTTACTGATCCTTTGGGCTATGTCGATAACTTTGGTTCTCTGTCTGATTCTGTTCATGATTATTGCAAAAGCTAGACCCATATGATATATCCCCAAACAGTCACCGGTGACCGCTCTCCACTAACTACATTATAGACCTTATTTCCAATGTTTAGAGACTACTTTTGTATGAAACAATTTTGGGGATGATTTTCAACGGGTTAAACAAATATGAAAGACAATTTATAAATCAAGCTGAATATTTATATCTTCATTGATTTTGATTTATTTGAGGTATTAGAGTCTTTTCACAAAAGTGAACAATTTTGAGTTAATCTATGTCTTACCTCAGCTGAAAAACTCCAAGTGGATTGTCATTAAGTACAAGAGTTTGCAAGTTAGCTAGCCTTCTGGTCTGAGGGGGCAAAGTCTCCAGCAGATTGTGGGACAGGTCCAGAAACAATAAGTCAGTCAGTTGCACAAATAATGTTGGTGGGATGCTCTCAATTCTGAAATAACAGTAAACATGTAATAAAATGGTAACGGTTTCGGAATAACATTTAAATTAGCATAAAAAGCAGGTTTGGCGACACAAATACTTAATTATTCCATAGATTTTGTATTTTACTATCTATTTGTTAGCAAGTTTACCACCATGTTTTAATGTCTCTAAAATATATACTTTTAGGTGAAAACTTTCATCTTTTAGGTTTACAATTTATTTTTACTCAGAGAAACTTTGTTCTATGTGTAGCTTAATATTAAGAAAACTAAGAGAGAAAATTTAGAATTAATTCAGACTTACTTATTGTGACTGAGATTTAAGACTAGTAAAGATTTGGCTTTCTCTAATCCTTCAGGAACTTCCTTCAACCTGTTATGTGATAGATCCAAGGTAGTGAGCTCTTCCAACCTGAACAGCTCAGCCGGGATCCCTGAACTCTTCACATTGTTGTGCCTCACATTCAGGGACCTCAGACATTTCAATTCAGTCAACTCACCAAATAATTTCTCTAAACTGTTCTTCTTCAGTGATAAATTCTCCTGCAGTTACAAAAATGTATGCCTTATTACAATAGGATGTTTACTACCAAACTTCATATATGTACGTTTTTAATTTAGCACATGACACAGTTTATATTTTTACATAAACTCATCTCAAAATACCCTTTATTTTAATTACAAATCTTTGACATAGGATACAATACTAGAACAATGGTAAAACCGTTAAGCTCATATACTTGCCCTTACTAGAGAGATTAGTATAAATGCTTTGTTCATGAAATAATCAAGAAGAAGGCCTACTTACCAATTTCATTAACTTGCCTAACTCCTCAGGGATGTCTGTCAGGTTAGTTTTGTCGAGCCGTAGCCACTGAAGGCCAGTCATGTACCGAATAGCATCCGGGAATTTATCATCCTACAAGAAAGAAACAATATAGGATTCCAATAGGAAAGCAAAGGTTAGGGATATGATATCATCCGTAATAGGCAAAGCGACGTATCGACAAAGTTACACTACACTTACACTGAAATCATTACAGGTAAAGTCCACGCCGCGAACAAACGGCAATAAGCCTGTATTTGCCATGTTTACAACGATTTATTTAAAAAAATACATTGGTTCTCAGTAAAAAACTTGTCAGGTGAAATGACATTTGATTTGAAGATTTGAACTATTTTGCACAGATAATGTATTTATAGACTGCGATGTGACGTAAATTCGTTCACAGATTAAATAGAAATAACAGTTAAGGGTGTGTTTCAATGATTAGTAAAAGTTTAACTTCGTTGACAAATAAAAAGGAGAATGCAGCCCAGCGGTGGCAGTGGCAGTGCTATGAGGCACGTGCCACCCGCTAGCTATTTTATAGTGTATCATCTATGCGCTCCTCGCCTATTCTATTTCTATAAACGCAAGAGCCGACATCGATCATCGATTAGCGACATCGATCAATTTGGTAGACATATGCTCAAGCGCTGATAGGTCGCTAGCTCTATTAGCTTCGCGTTAAAAATCAATCACGTTCATCTACACCCACTAACCATACAAATAGGCTTCCATCTTTTCTTGACTGTGTGTGCTTCCTCATCCATGTTGCTGCTGTCGATATCATCAACTTACGAAATTGGATAGCCCGGGCTTCAACTTGCATTACCTAATTTAAATGTCTTGAAAGTAACTTGAAAGTATTCATTCACATATTCGCCTTATAGGTCTATGGGGTGTCATTCCAACAGAGTTGTGCTGTTACATAAGTCAGTCAAGGGTCACCGATATTGATTTTCGAAGTTCTTGGGGTGACCCTGACGATGCAACTGGTTGCACAGCGCAGTCGTAGTTGTTACATTAACTATAACAAACATAATATCTGCTATGTACCTCGTTTTATAATATCTCCATAGGTATTTGAGTCCAAACAGAAATCTTAATTTAGGTACTCGACAAGTTGTCTTATAATGTTTAGAATAATCTATAGAAGTCGTGTTAAAGCAAGGGTATCAGGGTGCTTACTCTTGAAACCGATCTCAATGTCAATGCAATTTAATCCAATAAAATCTCAATAATTATTCAATTTCAAAACTATACAACTCCTACCGTAGCTGCTAGAATATCATTCGGGGTAGGTACCTACGGAATACAAAGTCAGTCATTACCATTTAGTTCATTCAATATCCACGCAATACGGATGCATTGGGCGCTAGTGTTGCAACTCGAAAGTACGAAATTTCACAATACCAATGTCGATCGATCGGAATTGGATTCAAGAGTAAGCCAGGTTAGTATCCCAGGTCGTGTAAAATATCAAGTTTTTGTTTTTCAAGTCTGCTATAGGTTACGCACGGAGCGGCGCAAGAAACAGCCTGAGGTCGAGTCCTCCGCACGAAATTCCGAACACCTTTCCATGGCGCGATGGATTCCGTTTACAAGTTCCGCTGTGACTCAGGACTCAGCCTAAAGGCTTAGCAACAACCTTGCCCCATGTTCTCAAATAAAAGACGATACTGTAGTATGTAGTGGATATCTATTGACGAAAGTATAATTACGACATGAACGCATTTTTGCATAATTCGTGGAGGCATAGATACTCACTCAAGCAACTATATAAGAGTTTTCCATACTTACTTGAGTAAAATGATAACAGCTTTATTTTAAATTTATTATACACTGTATTACTTTTGCCACATTTTCACTATTACACATGATTAAAAAATGCATTTTCAACAGTACATTTATTCTAATAACAAAGCATCATCTATAAAATGTTTTTCACAAATGAAACCGTCATCTCACTAACCAATCAATAAAATCACAAAATTAGAACCAGTAACATATTACTGCAACCTTTAGGAACAGAAAAACATAAATGGTAAGAGAAAATGCAACTTATTTTTAATACAATTATAATAGTCTAATAAACAACAATTTGATTATTTTGTAAACATTTCGATTAAATGCAATTGGGTAAATATATTAAGTAACTAACATACAGTCAACTGATCTCTAGTTGCTATGCCCAATACAAAATACTTCAAATCATGTTTAAGGAAGGTACCTATTCTTTTTTTTAACTAATACACTAACATTAAAGCATTCTGGATGATATTTGAATATTTCCTTTATATATCATAGTGAAGATTTCAAACAGTTTACAATGAATATATTGTTTGACTCTAATAACTGATTTATCGAGGCATTGGTGGCATGTTCGGCATGGGGCCTGACATAGCTGTGTTGGTTCCTAGCAAGACCTGAAACCAAGAAAAACATTTATAAATTATCTTAAAGATTACAGCTTCACAGTTTGATTAAGTTTAGAATAAAAAATACCTGTTTCTGTTGTGACTTTTCCATTTCAGCCATTTGAGCTCTCTCAACTTCAAATATGACTGGAGCAAACAAGATTACAGACGAGCTGGCTATCACCCACATTACTGAGCGAGACAATCCATACAGAGATTTAACTCCTGACCTGAAAAAAACATATGATTCCATTTACGAAAAGGAAATAAACAGCTTGTATAAATAACCTCTATATAAACTTTCCTAAACAGTTAAAACTGGTTGTTTACAGTCCACTTGCTGCAATAATTGGTTTAGTAGTAAAACTACTATGTACTGTATAACAAGAATTCATTGGTACAGCAATAACATAACAGATCATGGAATAGTATGTATTACCACTGGAAGTTGGTCTGTATAAAAATATCATGTGATATGCGGCTTGTCCGTGGGTATGTTAAAGCCCTAAAATCTCATAAAATTGATGTACATTTTTCTACGAAACTAATAAATATATTAAGATATTTTTTTGTATGAACTGTTTACATTTTTTATCATCACGAAGAATTCATCTGTTTAGGCTCTTCTATGGGCAATCCACTTAGTACATGGTATTTTTGTTTTGTATCACAATTTGACATCATTTGTATTTAATAAATAAATAGGGAATTATTGATTCTTACACTGTGTTTGTAGTGAAAGTATAAGTGCAGCTTCGAACACACTCCGGAAACATTTCAGTCAGGCCCCATAACCTCTCTGATAAGGTCTCGTCAGGTTCCTTTAAAATTATAACATTATTATTAATATTTCCATAAAAAGATCACATCCCAATATTACTTTAACAACATATAAATTAATAATTTAATTCTAAAACAATAAACTCACATCGTCATATTCTTTCAGTGGTCCAGCTAAATGTCCTCCAGTAGGCCCACCGATAGGTGTGCCAGCGCTGGGCGACGATCCTAGCTGTAAACAAATTCACATTAACAATCTATCACATGTTTCCTACTTTTTGTTATCAGTTATTGGTACATACTGAGGGGGTTATGAAAAATTCATCGGGCCTGCGCTCTGGACTATCATCTTTGCTCGCACTCAAAGACTCCATTCCGCTGTCACTTTGTTCTTGATCATCGGTTAACTCCATAAGCATTCTATTCGCACAATTGTTACGTTGCACCTTTTTACGATTCCCTGAAGGACTCTAGCTTCAATTTGGACTAAAGCTCTAATATTCCGTAACATGCACTATCCGTGCTCAAAAGCAAAAGACAAAGTTGTGGTTGTGATGAGTGTTGCCAGGAGGAATTTACTATTTACATCGGAAAAAAATGGTATTTTCTTGTTCAGTATTTTGCTTGTTCGTTTTGATTTTAGTAATATAAACGAATATTTAAATATTATTGAAAATAAATGAAATCATACATGAATAGTATTATTCCAAATGAATTTCACTCTGATAATTTGAGACCCACACAGGACAAAAAACATAGTAGCTAATTATAAAAAAATGCACATTACTAAAATCGAACAACTATTGTGCATTCAGAGCGAGAAGTTTAATTACAAATTGACCTAAATCTTTACAGTGCAAATGTGAATCAACGTTTAAATCTATAGTAATGTTACGAATAAGTCGCATGCAATGATGTAGAGTTCTAACAAACATGAGCTATGAATGAATTTTATGATGATGTGATAATTACTTCATACTTGCTTTATTTTATTTTACAGTATTTTGTATTACTACTATGTAATATAGTATTGTTTAAATAAAAAAAAAACCAAAAAAAGTATTGTTTAATGTATATGATAATTAATACTTCCATGCCGGTTTCGAAGGCTACGGCGACCGTTTTTTGACTAATGACGTCTATCATGATCTCTCATGTGGCTGGCAAATTCAGGTTTTTTACAAAATATTCTTTCATAGAGTAAACACATGTGTGAAAGCACAATTAAACCAATTTTTTAAATGTATTACTGTATGGAACTAATAAAAAGCCACAAGCTAAGGCTGCTCTAAAATGATTTACTACAATAAGTAGTACTACTATAAATTGAGCAGCATCCATAATATTTACATGGTGGCCTGGGTGGCCGTGATGCCCGTGGTAATCAGGCAGGCAATCAGTTGGATTACTGCAAGTACAAGGAGATTCTGCAGGCATTTCTTGCATTCAGCTTGAAAAACTAATACCAAGTATTCCAATGTATTCACACTGGTATTTATAAATTATAAAATGTATTTTTTTAGTTTTACTGCTGTCATTGCTGAGAAAAATTATTCGAAATTTAAAAAATTTAACTACGAAAAGGCATGTTTTGCTATTTGTGACAGTTCTAAAATAGTTTGATTCTAATCTATAATGAAAAATAAAAATAAGCGTAACTCTGTGGAACAGCAGCACAGCGATAAAAATCCGTGGGATATGTGTGATAGCGTTAGAAAAAGCGTGAGAAATATAGAAAAAAGAGTTAGTGGGGGGCAGTAGCAATTAGCAGCCTGTGGGGGCAATTTGAGTCATTTATATATATGTAATCTATTCTAGTAGTAATGTCATACTTTCACCAATACAATTGTTTTGTTTGTCCACTTTTAAATCTCTTAGACGATTGTAATTTTACTATTCGACTAACGTAAAATTAATAAAATCTTTCCTGTGGTCTGTGGCCAGCGAAATCAATAATTGGTATAAATAACTGTCATTCGACTGAACTGACATTGACAGCAGTCTTTTTCTGGAACCTGCCATATTTCGTGCAAATAATTAAAATTTAATTTTAATAGTTTATTCTTCATCCTGTAATTTATGCTTTTAGGTTCCTGGTATGCTTTATTTGCGTTATTTGAATAATTCAATATAATTAAAGTGGATCCAATACATTGATACCCCGTCTATCATATGTTACCTCCATTGAAATTTTTTACATGCAAAAGTCCTAATTTATGTTAATCAGTGAGTGTGCTGTAGCTGCCGAAATTAGTGAAGTCTGCTTATGCACCGTTGAGATCCCTTCAAATCGTGCTTCAAAGGTATGTACGTATTTCATAATTGTTTATTATTATAATATATCCAATAAAATATTTTTTTAAGTAAAAATTCTATAAGACTTTTCTGATGCAAGCCAAACTAATTTTGTATTGATGAAATATGTACTAAACTATAAGATTATTAAAAAATAACTAAAAAGGCCTGTTTTAGGAAACCTTATATCAAGACGTTTTTTCTCTTGACTGAAAACTCACCAAATATACACTAACTAATTGTTTTCAATGTTTATCACAACGGTTTTCGGAAATACATAATAGTAACTTATAACATTTGTGCATTTTATTTATTGACATTGAACACAACATTATGGAATGTATTTATTATTTATTATGTCTGTCCGATTAGCCTCGGAGCTTAAATGAAATTGATAAGATCCATTGACAGACATCTAGGATTTTCATATTATTGATTGGCAATAGATTGCAATGATGGAGTAGTGGGAACTTGGGCCTTATTTTAGAAAACATCTAATCTTTACATGGTTATACATCATTGAGATAAAATGTGCAAGCTGATGTTATTGTTATACAATATCATTGTTGATTTTCACACAGTGATTCATCATGCATCTTGATACTACACTTTTCCATTCTTAAGATTATTTCTTTGATGACTCAGGGCCTATTTTACAATGCCTGGTTACTATACTATAATCAGTAATTGACTTATTTCATGTCGTACATGCTTTCAATTATCCATTTGGCAGATACATAATAGCCAAAGTATTGTTGAAAGCAAAAAGATTCCAATTGGAGTTATTTTAGAGTATTGACTAACAATCACCTTTATAAATTAGAATAGAGATGTTAAATGCCAGTTACAGCACTAACACCATCATAAATAAGTAAGAACATTAAATGTTTTATGTTGTTCATTCAACCTAACTAGGGTTGCCAGCCTGAAATTAACTAACCTGGAGAATTCAGTTAAGAAATCACTGAATTTTGGAGTTCAGAACCTAGACAAAGACATAAAAGAAACTCCTTTATGTCCTTATGTTTTACACTTAAATCCTCCCCTTTCCTCTTCCATTTCCTTTTCAATTGGTAAAAATACATGGAGATGGCCACCCTAAGCTAACATACACAACACACCCATGTATATAATATATGGGAACAAAAATATAAAACAACTGATTTCATTCATTCACTATTTCATGTAGTTTATGTACCTACACATTGTGTACATGGATAAATGAATAAATAAATGCTTTGTGTATCTTAGTCTAATTATTACTTTGTTAACTGTACTATAATTGCATTTAGTTTAGAAACAGTTGAAGTAACCATATATTCAGTTTGAAGGTTAACAATCCTCTCACATACAACTGTTAGTACCTACTTTGTGTTTTATACTCAGTGTGGGGTAAAAATCTTATATTAAAATATTACTAGCCAGTAAAATATTTCAAATATGATTCTTGTGATAAAAAATGCTATAAAGCAACTGGCTTTACTTCAAATGAGTCACTGGCGGACATAAAATATCTTGTAGAAAGATTAATTTATCAAAGGAAAAAATATAAGCAAAATGTGATCTTATCTTTTTAAAAATGCATGTTCAAACTTCAATTATGGTTATCAATACATGTTTTGAAAGGAAATACTTTGTCTCAATTGTTTTAAATATAACATGATATTTATGCCTTTACAGTTCTCAGAAGTTCTGATTAAATTTCATTTTCAACATGTCATCAGCAGACAAAGGCATGACAGGCCATGTTCACAGGATCTCTGAAACCTTTGTGTTATTTGTATCTTTCTCATAACATGTGTTAAAATTTTCCCAGAAATAAATCGGTATCTAAAATTACTCAGTCAGCTGTCACGGTTGAGATTTAATTATAATATGCATTGCCAACCAACAGACGGAAATATTGAGTTTTTAATTTATTCACATTTTTTAAGAAATGTTTGTTCCCTTGCCAAGGAGACATTAAACTGTTTGTTAAATAAATAATCTCTAGAGATAACTAATAGGCGAATATATTCTGTACCTATCTCTCATGCGAACAACTCGTATCCACTTGCAATCTGTACGCTGCTGGCTGCTGTTATTTTTATTTAACTCTTTTCACTTTGTCTCTGGATTCTTCCAGCTCATAACTCTTGTGTCATAAACTTCACTTTTATGTAATGTTTTGGCATTCGCGCAAATTACGATTTAAATATAATATAAACATTTATATTCCAAATACCATTCTTATAGTCTTCACCTACTTATATAGCAATAATATAGATATTTATTTTCGTATTTCACTATCTGGGTACCCTAGTTTCCAATTAAAATAGCTAATTTATGATTCATCAAATGAAATATAGATGGTTGTTTTGAATGTCTATTTTTGTCCCCGATGTACGTTCACACATTCTATTTTGATTTCTTAACACTTTGAACTCGAATAACAAGTTTCAAAATGTTGGTTTTTATTCATCCATTGTTGAGTGAGTTAATAAACAACTTCTATAAATAAAAAACAACAACAAACCGCCCCCTAATCTGTCATTTTATGCAAGTGATCAATTGTGACATCTGACGTCACGTGTATCGTCAGAACGCCATTGCACTGGTATAACTGCACTTGTATGACTTCCCATGTATTTATGTCTGATATGATTAGTGCAACACTTCCTTATTTAGCACGCAAATAGCTTTTGTTTACATTTAATATAGCTATACCAACTCGATTTTATTACTCAGACTTACGAATGTCCATGTCAAAGTAGACGAACGGTGTCGAGTTTAGATCGTGTTTGGAATTTAATTCGAGGGCTTCGAAGTCGGCTGATCAGTCTTATTCGTGCAGTACATATTGATTAATGTTTATCTGTAGGAAGTTTACTTCAAGGAATGACCTTAGTTTTAGTGCGATGTTAATAAGCAATTACCAATTAGTTGAGTAGATTGGATCGAAGCAGCGCCGCAAATCTTTTCCAATTTACGTGTCCTGAAACGAATTTGTAAGAGCACTTAGAAAAGTATACATTCCGTAAATAAATCTGAGTAAACGAATGAATAATACATAATGGAGGGGAAGCTCTTCAAATAAATCTAATAAGTACGTACTCCAACTTCTACGTAGCTGAAATAAAATAACAGAAGGACATTTACCACGATCAGTCATTTTTGCCAGGCTAAAAACCATAGGATCGATGATCTCTTATCTTAGATAGGCTAAACACAAAGTAAAGTCTGTTTTTTAATTACTTAACCGTACCATAATTTATCATTGTGT